GGATGAATGAGGAGTCATATACAGCTGAAGTTTTGGTAGAACCTGACAAGACAAAAGTGATATGGCTCTCCACAAACCCTGTTATGCTTATACATGTGATTCAGATCCCTTGTATTAATTGTATTGGATACATTACAAAGGTTTTATACCCCAATTTGAGGTCCTCGGCTTTAAGCATCCTGCCTCCAGGGCTCCTTGTGGGTTGATCTATATGTAAGGGCATCTTCATTACCCAATGCCCCTATTAAAATGTCTTAATGAACATGCCTTACATAATCTGGCCATTTGAAGAGTGCTGCTGCTTTTGCAAAGGTGCCAACAACTCAGGAGCAAATGCACATATAATTGGGGCATTTTCCCAGCATCCAACATGAGCTTATGGGATGTCATCTCTGCAAGAAATGATCTCTAGTGGGGCAGTGTTCCTCACACCAGGAGGAAAATCTCCTGGGTTGTAAAAATAACACAGCCTATGCCTGAAGACCAGCTGCTAGAGGTTGTAAGCCCTGAAGCTTCTGTGTCCTGAACATTCTCTGGGGCTAGGACCAGCTAGAGCTTGTGACCTCAGGTAGCATTGAAATCCATACCTGGGTGTGTATTCCAGGGCAGCAGAAACCAGCATAAAGCTAAGATAAATGGTAGTGCTGCTGACTAGGTACATGGCTTGCACTAGCTTTGGGGTCCACCATGGTCAGGTGGGGTCCATTTCCATCATCCACTGAAAAGCTGAAGTCACACTTGAGGCTTCCATGGTTGGGCAAAGTCCCTCCCTCAGCTCCTGTTGAGGAACTCCTGCCATGTTAGGAAGTACCACCTGCTGACAGGGGGTGTGGCACATATACACTGCACACCTGTTTTGAGGACCACTCCAGTCAGATGAAGAGAAGTTTGCTAGCAAAAGGCGAGTGCTTGGCCCACCTGCCCATCTTAATAAGGAAAACACCACGATTCAAAATCTCAAGACAGAACTTTTTAGCCAGGTGTATTGCATCCAGTAGAAACTAAATTCCAAGTTCCAGGTTTTTCAGCAGAAAGAATGAATTTAAAAAACACACTACAAACCAGAAACAAAGATTTTGGGCACAAGGCCACAAACTGGCCAACTCTCTTCCCATTCCTCTGTCCAGATCTTCCTTACGAAGACATCTCATTGTCGCCTTTCCTCCCCTATAGCTGAAACTTAGGAACAAGGTTCCCACAACTGCATCTTAACAGATCTGCCTGAGATCAAGAGCAGTGAGACTGAGGGAGACACTTTTGAATTTTCACAAGGAGGTAAAAGCTCAGCACAGCTGAGACAGAAACAAATTGAATTCCACTTACCACTGTTGCTTTTTTGGTTCACTCTTGGGCTTTCTCAGACACCTGGCTGGCTCACCCATAAGAAGTGAAGTAAGTGGGGTGGCTGAATGTGTATTCCAGGTCTGTGCCTTCTGCTTAGGGAGACATTCCAAGTATAGGCACATATACACTGTCCAGAATGATGAAGTTTATTAAAAAGGTGAAAGAACACACATGCATGGGCATAGGTGGGGAGTGGCCAGCAGCATAAACAGCTGGGGGAGGGGAATAGGAGTGGCAGCACCTCCCTCTGTCCTGGTCTCCAGCTGAAGAGCTTGCTTTTCCTGGACTCTAGACTAAGTTAAGGTCCCGATTCCATCTTTCTGCTCATGTGCACCTTGGCAGGCAGCAGGTGATGGCTCAAATACTTGAGTTCTTTCCACTCCCTTAGGAGACCAGGGTGGAGCTCCAGGTTCTGGGCTTCAGCCTGGCCCAGCCATGGCTGTTGTGAGCATATGGGGAGTGAAGCAGAAGATGGAGATACCTCCCTCTCTCTCACTCTCTCTTTCACTCTCTGCTTCTGCCTCTGTAAATTTGCCTTTCAAATTAATAAATATCTTTTAAAATTAAAATAAATATAAAGCTATTTCCTTATAACCAAAAAAAGATTTATTGATTTGAAAGGCAAAGTCTGTGGCAGGGAGTGGGAGGAGAGAGACAGAGAGAGACTCCTCCATCTACTGCTTCACCTCCCAAAGGACCAGAACAGACAAGCTGGGCCAGGCCAGAGGCAGGAACTTCTTCTGGGTTTCCCATGTAGGTGGCAGGGGCCCAAGTACTTGAGCCAACCTTCATGTCTTTCCCAGAAGCATTAGCGGGGAGCTGGATTAGAAGTAGAGCAGCTGGAACATGAACTGACTCCAATATGGAGTGTGGGTGTTCCAAGTGGTGGCTTAACCTGCTACACCACAAAATAGAACTGCCACCCAAATTTTTAAACATTGAATTGTCAAGTAGCCCATCTAGGTATATATACATCTAGGTGTATATATATCTAGGTATATGACTCCAAGAATTGGAAATGGGGGTGGGTGTTGTGGTGCAGCCAATTAAACTGCCACTTGGGAGGTCCACATCCCATACTGGAGTGTCTGGTTCCAGTCTTGGTTAATTTGCTTTCAATTCAGCTTCCTGCTAATACCCATGGGAAGGCAACAGATTATGGCTCCAGTTCTTGGGCCTCTGTCAACTGTGTGGGAGACCTAGATGGAGTGCCGGGCTCCTGGCTTTATCCTGGCCTGCCTTCACTGTAGTGGCCATCTGGGGAGTGAGGCAGAGCTCTCTTTCAGTCACTGTGTCTTTCAAATACATAAGTACATACATAATAGAAGAATTGAAGACAGGGTCTCAAGGAGTAATTTGTACCCATGTTCACAGTAGCATTATTCACATTACCCCTATATGCAAACAACCCATGGGGCCATCAAAAGAAAATGAGTGTGGGAAAACAATGTGGTCCAACTGAACCACGGAGTATTATTCAGCCTTCCAAAGGAAGGATATTCTGACACTTGCTACTGCAGGCATGAATCCTGAGGACTGGATAATACAAGCCAGCCACAGAAAGACAAACACCAAGGGCAGGCAGTTAAGATGCCTGTGTACCATGTCAGAGTTACTGGGTTTCACTCTCAGCTCTGGCTCCTGACTCCAACTTTCTGCTGTTGCAGACAGGGAGGAAGCAGCTGATGGCTCATGTGATTGGGTTCATTTCATGCACATGAGAGGCCTGAATTGAGTTCCCAGCTCCTGGCTTCAGCCCAGTCCAGTACTTGCCATTACAGGCCTGCAAGGAGTGAACCAGCTGACGGGAGCTCTGCCTGTCTCTCTGGCTCTCAAAGAGCAAATACTGCATAATACTTGAGACAGAGTTGTCCCATTCATTAGGACAGGAGTAGACCTGGGGGTGCCGGGCTGGGGAGGGGGGTGGGGAGTGTTTCATGTGGAGGAGAGGAGTGGTGGTGATGTGCACACAACCCTGTGAATGCTCTTCATGTCACTACTGTATACTTAAAAAGGGTTAAAATAGTAACATTTGTGTTTTGTATTATTAGCATAATTTAAACGGTAAAAGAACCCCCCCGCTCCAATATCTATCAATGCAGACCAAAGTTACTCAATTTGACTATAGCTGCCAATACTAGGCTGGACTTGATAGTGACCCCAGATATCACATACCGAAGTGGGCCACTGGGGCCAGCAGCTGCCAGTCATCCCCCAAGCAGCCAGTGGCCCCTGCACACATCCCAAAACAGGATGGGAGACTATTTGAGTATAACCTGAGAGTCCAGTACATTCATGCTAGAAGGAAGGCTTATCTGCCACACGTACCTGGGTTTCCCTGAGCAAGCACATGGCTGGATTTGTCATCCCAGAAACTCCAGACCTCACTGTGTCACAAGGACTTTTCAGAGCCTCCTCCCCAACTTTTTAGTGGTAACCAGGGCTCAGAATATGAGGTACTTGCGCAGTACCACACACCTCATAGATGTGAAGGCAAGGTTTGTATAGCTCTTGGAAGTCCCAGGGCCTGGTCTCTTTGTTCCTTTTTTCTACTTTTTATGGAATCAAGATGTTTATGCACACAGTTCTGTAAGTTCTGCTGAATGCACACAGTGTGGCTGTCCTCAGAATCCAGATAGAGAAAGCCCCTGAGGCTGGCACTTGCCCCAGTATGTTATGCCTCTTCTAAAGGAGCTTCTATAGTAAGTCCTTATAAATGGATACATTCACTACAGCGTTTCAATGTCAGGTGTCTGTTTTTCTGGTGCCTAGCAAATGCTCATGGATGCTAACCAATAAAAATGCTATTCTGCTGACTACTTGAACCATGTGACAACCGAGAAATGTCACTGACCTGACACTGAAGTGAGGTTGTGCTCACCTGATCAGCTGCTTGCACATGAGACACAGGACCTGGTGGTGTGGTCTGGTCTGACGCCTGATCCTAGTTCCTCCTACGAGACCCATTGCCTTCACTCCCTGCCTGTTATTTATTACTGCCTCCCCACAATCCCTCCTCCCAGGCAGGGATCATAATTTCCTCTTGAGCATTTCCAGTGAATGAGCTATGGGGCCACCTTTCTCCTCTGAATTCAGAGGTCTTCCTCTGGGTCTGGCAGGATACAACACACCCGCAGAAGGCAGTTCACCATCCTCCTGCAGATCCCCCGGCGGCCCTTGCTCTTGGCAGCTTTAGCAGGTGAGGTCCCTGCCTCCTCGTCCTGTTGGTTTTCTGGGAGGCTCTCATTCTCTGTCACTCCCTGGGAACAGCTCCTGTCTGCTAAGTGGTCCTCACTGCTGCTGGAGCTGAGAGTGGATATGGAGGACACGGGGCTGTTGTACCCGAGGCCTGGCCAGGGAATGTAGGTCTCCCTCCTTATCCCAGGTTGGGGGCCATCTGTCCTCTCAGTCTCACTGCTGGTGATGCTGATAGTGGCTATGGAGGACAAGGAGCTGTTGTGGCTGAGAACTGGCCCAAGAATGTAGGTCCTCCTCCTTATGACAGGGTGGGGACCACCTGACCTGCCGGCCTCACTGCTGCTGGTGTTGAGAGTGGATGCAGAGGACACGGAGCTGTTGTACCTGAGGACTGGGCGAGGAGTGTGGATCATCATCATGCCAGGTGGGGAACCATCCATCCTGCGGGCTCCATGGCAGGCATTTAGCCCTGATGACGGGTCACCTTCGGGCAGCACTGGGGACGTGGCGCTGGCTAGGAGACTGGGTGTCAGGGGGGCTGCTTTACGGCTCAGCTGAAAGCCCAGCTCCACCAGGTAGCTTTGGGCCTCAGCATCCTGGGGAGATGCTAGAAGCTCCACTTCAGTGAGCTCAGGTCTCGCTGCTCCACTGAAGCCCTCCTGGGATTTCCCCCAGCTCAGAGCAGGGGACAAGCAGCCATCCTCCTCCTCACGGCCCAGCTGGAAGAGGAGGCCTGAGAGGTATTTCGGACCTTCAGTAACATGCGAAGGACCTGGGAGCCCCATGTAAATTTCGCTTCCTCCTCCTCTGAGGTGAGCCTGTAGCTGGGCTTTTCCCCACAGGGGGCCGTCCTGTTCTCTGAGGCCCTCCTGAGAGCTCAGGCTCTCCACACTGTCACTGAGGTCCTCGTCCTCGGTTGAACTCTGAGTCTGTTTGGCTATATCTTCACTCAGTTTGGGCCCTTTCTGCTCCATGCTGAGCCACTTGTGGCCCATAGCATCTGCCACTGTGGGCCTCTCAGCAGGGTCACAGGTCATCAGCCAGTCCAGCAGCTGCTCCAGTTCCCCGCTTATAGAGGAGGGGACTAGGTAAGAGCCAGCCAGGATGGCTGCCTTCAAGTATGCAAAGCTGTCCCCTTCAAAGGGCAGCCACCCTTTCACCATGGTGTATAGGAGCACGCCCAGGCTCCACACGTCGGCCTTGTAGCCATCGAATTCCTTCCCTAAGAATTCTTCCGGGGCACAGTATTCGAGGCTGCCACACAATGAATTGAGTTGTTGGCCTTCAGCCAACTTTTGGCTTAAGCCAAAGTCAATTAGTTTAATACACATGTTTCTGTCCACAAGGAGATTTTCTAATTTTATATCTCTGTGGACAACGTGCTGCTTATGGCAGTACTCCACTGCTTCCAGGGTCTGACTGAAATAGTAGCACGCTTCTCCTTCCTCAAGGTGGCCGCGCACTGCCACTAACTTTCCAAGGTCCCCCACACTAATATATTCCATGAACAGGTAGGCTCTCTCTGCCGTGTAGTCTACCTGCATTAGCTGTACAATGTGAGGGTGATGCAGAGAATTCATAATCTCTGCTTCTACCCTTGCTTGTGGGAACTCGGAGGAATCCCCGTGCCCTCTGGCAATGATCTTCACAGCCAACATGGTCCCACTCTCCACATGGCGGGCCAGCTTCACCTTGCCGAAGCTGCCCTTGCCAAGGGTTCTGAGGATTTCATATCCCCGGAACACCTCCTCCTCTGTGTGGGAGGATCTGTCACCACTCATTGTGGGGATATCTTGGTATCTAGTGTACTGGGAGTAACACTAGCTAGTCTCCTACAGCACCTACGGTGACCTGGCAACCCAATGAGAAAGAAACAAATGAATAAGACAATATGTTAATACTACTAACAGGTAACACTACATTTACTATACTACAGACTAATTCTATTCACTATACTCAAGTTACTAATATAACAAGAAAAAGAGAAAAAGAAAAGATATTTAAATTAAATACACAGAGATAAAAAGAAAAAAATTGAGTTGGGGGAAAAAACTAAGAATAAAAAATAAAAAAATAAAACTCTTAAAGAACAAATAGACAAAAAAACTGCATATGAACGTCACTGTACTAATCAATAAGACCAATTCTAATTCACTATGTGATATTTGAATACAGCAAGAGAAATCCAAAAAGAAATGAGATTTTTAAATAAAATACACACAGATAAAAAAGCAAAAATTTGAGGGTGAGAAAAGAGGAAAAAAAGAACAAAATAAACAGCACTGAAAAGAACAGACAAAACAGCAGTATATAACTACACTAATTATTAAGATTAATTCTGTTCACTATGCTAATATCTTGAACAAACAGTACATATGAATTACACTCTACTAATCGTAATTAAAACAAAATAATCAAGCAACAAAACAAAAAAAATGGAAAACCATAACAGAAAGTAAAACACCAACTCTTATAACAAACTTACAATACTAATCCTCCTGTGTAAAGCGATTACAGATGAGAAAAAAATGAAAAAGGTGAGATACACAAGAATTAAACTATTAGAAAATGAAAAAAGAAAATAAATAGAAGAAATGACAAGAGAAATCAAAAAGAAATGAGATTTTTAAATAAAATACACACAGATAAAAAGCAAAAATTTGTGGGGGAGAAAAGAAGAAAAACAAACAAACAAACAAAAAACCCCAACAAAATAAACAGCACTAAAAAGAACAGACAAAACAATATGAAGTACACTATTAAGATTAATTCTATTCACTATGCTAATATTTTGAACAAACACTATATGTGAATTACACTATACTAATCATTATTTCTTTTTTTTTTTTAATTTTTTTTTTTTGACAGGCAGAGTGGACAGTGAGAGAGAGAGACAGAGAGAAAGGTCTTCCTTTGCCGTTGGTTCACCCTCCAATGGCCGCCGCGGCCAGCGCGCTGCGGCCGGCGCACCGCGCTGATCCGATGGCAGGAGCCAGGAGCCAGGTGCTTTTCCTGGTCTCCCATGGGGTGCAGGGCCCAAGCACCTGGGCCATCCTCCACTGCACTCCCTGGCCACAGCAGAGGGCTGGCCTGGAAGAGGGGCAACCGGGACAGAATCCGGCGCCCCGACCGGGACTAGAACCCGGTGTGCCGGCGCCGCTAGGCGGAGGATTAGCCTAGTGAGCCGCGGCGCCGGCCTTACTAATCATTATTTCAAACAAAATAATCAAAAGTGACAAAACAAAAACAAATGAATGAAATAAACATGATAATAAATAAATAAATAAAATGAAAGAAACAAATGAATAAGTCAACCAACAGGTAACACTACATTTACTATACTACAGACTAATTCTATTCAATGTACTCATCTTACTATTATAACAAGAAAAAGAGAAAATTAAAAGATATTTAAATTAAATACACAGAGATAAAAAAATTGAGTTAGGGGAAGAAAACTAAAACTAAAAATAAAAAAATAAAGCTCTTAAAGAACAAATAGACAAAAAAACTGCATATGAACTTCACTGTACTAATCAATAAGACCAATTCTAATTCACTATGTGATATTATGAACACAACAAGAGAAATCCAAAAAGAAATGAGATTTTTAAATAAAATACACACAGATGAAAAGCAAAAATTTGTGGGGAAGATAAGAGGGAAAACAAAACAAAACAAAACAAAAAAACAAAAAGAACAAAATAAACAGCACTAAAAAGAACAGACAGAACTGAAGAGCCAAAGTGACTCTATTTTGAAACAATCAAAAGCAGCCTCTGTTTCCCATAGCAGACCCGAGTCCTTGTAAAAGCAGGCATTCAGGCATTCTGGAGATATCCAAGTTTACCAAGGACAGCTAGCTCAGCAGACCAACGCCAGCTCAGTAGAGATTACCAACTGAGGTAACTTCCTGAACCCAAGCCAAACAGAGACACACACCCCCCACCCTGCCCAATCATAAAAGGCCCCGCACCTTAAGCCCTTGATGATGTATCTCCCCTTTAAAAGCGTCCCCAAACAAAGACCTGGGCCTTTCCTCCTTCCTCTGCTGCGCCGGTTGGTTGGATGAGGTCCCTGTCGCAGCTTGTACCTTTTTAATAGAAATCTTGCTTTTGGATTTCAGTGTGATGAGGTTGTTGATAGTTTATTGGGGGGATCTACTTATCTGGGCATAACAAAAACAACAGTATATGAAGTACACTAATTATTAAGATTAATTCTATTCACTATGCTAATATTTTGAACAAACACTATAATGAATTACACTATACTAATCAGTGATTCACACAAAATAATCAAAAGTGACAAAACAGAAACACGGAGAACTGTAACAGAAAGAAAACACCAACTCTTATAGCTAAACTTACAATACTAAACCTCCTATGTAAAGAAAGTGATTACAGATGAGAAAAAGAAGGTGAGGTACACAAGAATTAAAGAATTAGAAAATGAAAATGGAAAATAAAGAGAAGAAATGACAAGAAAAATCAAAAGAGAAATGAGGAGATATTTAAATAAAATAAAAATGCACAGATAAGAAGTAAAAGATTGTGGGGAAGGGAGAGGGCAAAATGAACAGAACAATAAAACAGCAAAAACAACAAAATATGGAAAAACTTATAGCTTTGTCCAAGTCTCGCTGGCCAGCATCCAACTGCTTCCTGGAAAAAACGGACAAAGTCCTCTGCCCAGCCAGGGATTCAAACAGGCAGTTGGAATGACATCACAATGCACCTTCCAACGTCAGAGCAAGAAATAGACCAATCACAGTTGGTGATACTCCATGGCAGTTTCCAGAAGTATCTGTCCATTTGATTAAAGAGAAAGTACTCCCAAAAGATCTTTGCTTAGGTTAGTGATAGAAATTGATATTTATTTTTTGCAAAATTAGCACATGTAGAATGTTCCAATTGCTTCCTAAAGTCTACCCCCCAAACAGCCTTTCCTCTCAATTTAACATCTGAGTGATAGGTCTCAACATGATGGGACCACTTTCCTGGCATCATGACACTACCACAAAATGGTCTGTTGCCCGTGACAGCTCAGGTGCATTGTTCATATCTGTAGAGCTATGTTCATGAGCAAATTGCTCATCGGAATCCCTGGAGGACCACAAGGCAGAGGGCTGATGTGGTACAGTGCAGAAGGCAAAAAAAAAAAAAAAAAAAAAAAAAAAAAAAGCACAAACTGAGGAATCTGTAGCCTGCAAAGCTATGCTTCAAATTGTAGGGAGAAAAGCAAGACATTCCTAGAGATTTCAGTGCTTTTTAGCTATTGTAACAAGACCTTGTCTTGGGTATTTGAAAATTTTCACACTGTTTTCAAGGCTGGGGAGAGTAAAATTGAGGACCAGCAGACTCAGTAACTTGAAAGGACTCACTTTCTGCTTCTATGTTGGTGCCCTCGTCAAAAAATTGATAATGAAAGGGAAGGCTGGAGGCCTGCTATTTACCATATGTCTAAGAGTTGAAAGGGAGCATTGTACCCCTTTAAATATACCAGTATGACTGAGTTCAACATCCAAACATTAGGAAAAAGATGGCTCCTTTTTGAAGTGTCCTCACAAGGTGGAAGAAGTGAATGGACCCCTCCAAAGTCCTTGCAGAAAGGCCCTCATCCTGGGTCTCGTGTTGAGGTGCACTGGGTTAAGCTGCACTCTGCGATACCAGCATCCCTCTACACGCACTGCGTTAAGCTGCACTCTGCTGCCGGCATCTCTATGTGTGCTTTAAGGATTCAATAAGTTGGGGGGCTAGGGAATGATACAATGAAGTTTGTGGTTTAGGAAAGTTCCTCTTGGGATGTTAATGCAGAACCTATAGGTAAAACCTCTTCAAGACTGGGGCCACTAAGAGGCCCTGAAGTGATAGAGTGGAGACTAGGTCACAGACCCAACTGACTGAACAGAGGGAATGAGAGAGCTGGAAGCCCCCAAGATGACGCTTCTAAAATGACTGAAAAACACAGAAGTGCACCTTAGAGAACTTTGTTTTTGAGAATGAATACTTATGAATATCCATAATGAAGAAGAAACTCAAGGATCTAAATAACAAAAAGTTATCTGATTATAAAATGGGCAAATAACCTGTACCGATATTCTCAAAATAGGATTTACAGCAACCTACAAGTATATGGGAAAATGTACAATGTCACTAGTCATCAGGGAACTGCAAATGAAAATCACCATCTTATTCCAGTTAGAACAGTTTGATCAAAACATAAAAGTAATAAATGCTGGTAAGGGTGTAGGGAAAGGGGATCTCTTTGTAGGAATGGAAATGATTGTCGTTGTTTTGGAAAACAATGTGGCCAATCCTGAGAAACCTAGAAACAGAGGTGCTATATGCCTCAGCTATCTTACTACAGGGCGTGTATCTATGAGTTGAAAGTATGTTGAAGAGATGTGTGCACTCATGTGTAGCATTGTACTATTCACAGTAACCATGATGTAGAATCAGGTGCCCATCAACTGGAGAATGGATAATGAAAATGTGGTATACACATGCAAAGGAATGCTAACGGAGTGGGAGGCCAAGGCAATTTTGGCTTGATGACAAGGACATAACAAAAGGTCTGTCTCAGCAAGACATGAGAACAACAGCTGTGGTCCTCTTGGTGGTTTTAGGTTTGTTGGGATCTACACTCTGCGTAAGAAAGCCAGACCTTCCTGGTGGTCCCATTAATGATTGTTATATTTCTAATTTTAGTGAAGAACTCTTAGTCTCATGATCCCCAAAATGTCCATTGCTTTGTAGAATTTTAATCAAGCAGAATGTTAGTGTAGGAGAAGGGGTTAATGCTTTATGCAAGGTTGATCTGTTTGTGGAAAAGAATTACAAGGTAACAGGCTCCTTGGTATATTCTTCCCACTAGAAAAAAGATAAATGTTATTAAAACTTTAAGTTAATATATGCAACAAATACAACAATGGTTAGGATGCCAAAACTGTGGAATAGATCTAAGGGAATCTTTAGATAAGTACAAGAAAGAAATTAAAGAGTTTCAGAAAGAACTGCAAAAGAGGGGATATATTGAAAAAAGGGTCTGCTCTGAACATTGGGGCTTCTAGTAAAGATTTGATTAGGAAGGTAATATTCTAGCTTGTGTAGCCAATGTCTGCATAGCTAGATAGCACTCCAGGCCTTGGTTTGTGTGGGCAGCCTGTTATCTCGCACCTGTCTGTGAT